CGGCGAGCATCAAGGTGTGGACGTGCTGGGACTTGAGTGATCCCGATCTTGGCCATCGTCCGGGCGTACCGAGTGTGCCATCTTGTGGTCTTTTCTATGGAACTACAGCTATCTACCGGGAGAAACTGGCTGGACCAAAGCGGTTGTTCGTGGACCAGAGGCGACGGCGCCGGAAGCGTGCTCGGCCCCACGCGAATGTCGAACCAGTACTTCAACATGGCCTTGAACCGGTCGGGCACTGCCTTTGACGTAAGCAGGCGCCGGATCCGGGGGAGCGACGGGTCGGCGAAGGCGAGGTCGGCAAAGTTGCCCTACGGCGCGTAGGCGTTGGCAACGACAGCCATGCTTGGCGACGACCAGGCCGGAACTGGGGACGTCGTGAGCGCGGCCTGCATGTAGCGTAGCGAGTGGCCACGGTGACGCGCTGACCACGTAACAAGCGCCGGCTTGAGGCCGAGGCCGGCTTGATGTTGTGGCGCGAAGACGATACTTTGATGGAGGAGCCGGTGGTGACGATCGTGTCGTTGCGCATCCCGTTGGACTTCAAGTCTGATTGATGGACATCGACGCGTGGACGTTGGGACACATCCGGCGGATACTTGAGGATGACAATGTTCTCGTCTACACAGACATGCAAGTTAGCAAGAAGCACGCATCGTTCGTCGTGCCTTGGTCGGAGCGTTGGTTGGAGCCTGTGCGTTCACGACGGGCGGGTTGTTTCCAGGCTCTGCATTGACACGCGAATCACGCCAAAGCGTCATGTATCATCATACCTTCAGCGGCCTGGTTGACCGCCACCGGCTCTTCCTACTCCATGCCGTCGTCCCCGTCGTCTATCAGTCGATACGCAAGTTGCAAAGGCCTCTTGCATGCTCCTACTACCTTGGTCGATTTTCGCGTCCGCGACAAGAGTGCGACCTCGGTTGATTTGCAAGATGCAACAAATAAAGCTTTGGATGCAGTCGTACCTTGGGCGGGCTGGTTGATCTGTATCGGGTTGGCAGGCGCGATACGACCTAGAACAACGTCGTACAGAAGCTTCTGCACCAGACCAGTCGAACCATCGTTGCCAAGAGCGAGCCCTTGATGAGAGCAAAGCAGCTTCACTCCCATGGTCACGCACCAACGGCGATAGTTGGACGTGGAAAACGTCTTGTACGTCACCGCCTTTCTCAGCGGCGCGCGAAAGTCTGGAAACGACGCGCCGCTTCCGAGAACATTGGCGACCTCGTCATTGATACGCTCGATGATCTGCGCGCAGTTCTCGTCGTCGAGGACCTCGGGGTTCACGCAGCGGTTGTCGATAAAGTTGCTTCTACACAACGCGATCTCGTGAGGCCTCGTACTGTCATCGCGGGGTACCTGTGATGTGCTCTTCTTCGCATCGCTCTGCCGACCATCTGGGTCAATTCGGAAGCCGTTTGCGATCCCAAACAAGTCCCCAGCTGCCCGGTGCGACCGCCAAGCACACGTCTGACGCAACGTCCACAACCCAGTCCCCTAAATCCGATCTTGAGAGGCACGCATCATATCGAGTCCAAGCGATACGCTAAGCCGAGCCGGTCGCGCGCGCTGTCCAAATGCGCGACGATGCCTCGATACCGTTCGACCTGCAGCGTTAGCTATGGTCCATCGACGAGTGAGCCGCACGCACACACACACAAGCACGGATCGGATCGCATGCACCTTGGCTTCGTCGGCTTCGTCTTCGCTGTCAGCTTGAGGTCCCGCCTAGCATGGTATTGGTGAGCATCGACAGATTGTTCTACGCCCGGGCGCGAGAAGCTCGATCGGAGCGCTGGAGGCCGGCATGTCAACGTACGCGGCACGACTGGTGCTGTTGTGACTCATGCCGATGGATGCTAATAGTCCGGGAACACGAGCATCCATCGGCATGAGTCACAACAGCACCAGTCGTGCCGCGTACGTTGACACGTCGCCTCCAGCGCTCCGATCGAGCTGCTCGCGCCCGGGCGTTCAAGAAGCGTCTTGTCCTCGACCACATGGGCAGGAATGCTGATATTGAGATCGAAAGTGGCGACCCTAGTACAAGTCCGTTATTGCATCGTAGAGCATGCTATTAGAGTCGCGTACATGGTTGACAGATCACCTGTCGTGTCCAAGAGTCTGTTGCGGCACGCGAAAAGGGTGTTCTGCGTCCGTGTCGCCTGGACGAATTGGTGCACCGCTCGCATTTCGATGATGCGGCCGATCGAGCAACCAGACCAGTACTACATGATAACACAAACATGTAGGAACGCAGTGTCGTCGCAGTAGTGAACCTGGATCGCCTTGAAAGCTTCCAGGCTCGCTGCGTCGACCGCGGTTGCACCATCGACGCCGTCCACTTCGTTTAGGTTCACGGCGATGGCTTTGTTGTCGGGCTCGTCGCCTTCAATTGCGTCGCCCTGCTCGTCGACGGGTGGCGCTCGTGGTTGCACTACGAATAGAAATGTGAGCGCCGCTGGGTTGATGAAACGCACCACGGTGGAAGCATAAGTGGGGACCGCCGCCCTCGATGATACACAATCGATGCACGACGATGGAGCAACCTAATCGTTCGTTGACACAGATCGTCGCATCGAGCTGCACTAATACCTTGCGTCGCGCACTCATACAGACGTATCGTTTCGTCTTCTTGGCAAGTGGGATCGCTGCAGGGCTGCATCTTGTGCCTGCTGCCGAGTATGCGAATTGCCGACTGATTTTTCATTTTGCATTCACCTGTCGTCGCGCGGGGGCGTTTGTGGCCGCGGGTGAGGCCCATGATGACAAGCTCCGTGGATTCCTTCCAGGCGTCGCGATCGGCGGCAAAGCTACGCAGTGTGTTGGGGTCCTCGAGAGACGCCAGCGACTGAGGCGGCGTCAACGACTGGAGGTCGCGGTGCAGGACGATCGGCAATGTGATCTTGGTGCAGCCTAAAAAACGGGGCGCCTCGGGAACGGCAAAGAAGCGGACGGCGGCAATGTTGGCAGACAAGTG